GCCCATAAATTGTTCACTTTCCTTAGCCAAGATTTAGCTGACCTGAGGTCTTCTTTATTTCTTTACCTTTCCTTTCTTCTTTACCTTTCCTTTTTACCTTTATTTCGGATGCTGTGCTGGCGCATCATAGCGGGAAAGTCTGTCGTTTTGTTCTCGGTATCGTTTGGACAAATAATGATAGTGTGGCTGCGTTAAACTTCCTACTTTCGTTTTTCAGGTTCACACTGGTGACTAGTATAGAATACTTTGCATTCGTATCCGTCTTTTTATAGACCATCGTTTTTTGCGGCCGGTACGTGATTTTTTTGCTTGTAATTTTGTATTTAGTATTTGCTAGTCAATGCTCCATTAATTCGAAATGTGTCTTCGTTGAATTTTATACGTTGCACTTTAATTACTGCGAGGTTGTTTCTAGGGCTCCATTTTGTGGCGGGTGAGCACGTTAGCCTGACATGGGTTTTAGCTTCCATATTTGATGATAGTTTCCATGCATGGTTGTGGTACCCATGGTTGTTGAACCTTGATGCGCCGATGGTTTCTGTAAGGAAAAGACCCATTATCTATTGTCAAAACTTGAATTCGGTTGTTTGTTATGCTCTCTGTGTGATACAATGCTGGGATAAAGGCAAGGATACTCACCATTCAATTTTGCTATTTTACGGTGAAAAGTTAGGGATGAGGTTTTAATTGAGGTTTTAATTTACATTTTGTGTATTTTATGGATATTTCCGGTGGATGTGGACACGAGTATTTGCCTTTTCTCTTATGGTCAAGTGCACTTCGAATGAGACACTTTGAATTTCCCAATGGACTAAGAAGTGCGAAGAGCACAAGATTCATTTAGCATATGGCAGGCCGGTGACGTAAGTTTCATGTCGTCATGTTTTCGCTTGTCGAGAGTGCACCTGAAGACCAATAATTCTTGCACTGCGAAATCTAGCGCTTTATCTCAACACTCGTAGTTGGTTCATGCGTTTGTTTTGTGGTTCAAGGGCGTCTGACTTGGAGAGTGATGATCGTGTTGGTAGCAGATTTTAACGCGTCTCGTTGTTAAGGTCTTAACGTTTACCTTGATATAATACGCAAGGAATGTTGAAGCACTTAATAAAACTTTGAAACCTATATAGATTCTAGAATGAATTTATAATCATTATCGCGTCGAAAATTGAGAGAAAGCCTAAATTAGGTAAAAGCTCTTTCACAACAATAGAAAAGGAGTAATTGTTGCAATAACAAATGGGAAACATTTTATTTATTTCGCAGTGTTGAATGTCGTTGAGTCGGAAATATTTGAATTTTTGAATTTAATTAAATTATTTGTAGATTCATAAAAATAAAGTCAGATTCTATGTTCTCGGTTTTCTATAAGAAAAAAGAAGCGCTAAGATTTTAATACTAAAAATTATCACAATGACGTATTCTTTAGAAAAAAATAAGCAGTCATAACACGTTTATGATGGGTTTTTGAAATGGAAATATTTTCTTCCTCATTTTATGATTTTGAGGCTTCTTGATATTCATATTAACGAACTTCAAACGTTACAGAAAGTTTGAAGTTCGGCACAGAACGTCATCGCTTAAATCCTTCAGCTATAAAAAAATTGATTTACCTAGATATTTCATGTAATTTATAAATGATTTAACTTATTAACAGTTTTAGTTAGTCAAGATGTCATCATCATCTCAAAACTAAAATTTCCTGTAACTCGGCGCATTTTTTCTTGAAAGTTACGTCAAGTTTAAATGCATTCTTTGAGCAATTTAGTGCAAATGAAGCGCTGGCGATGCCTGAAGTGGGCACGGTACGCTGGCGCAAACATCAAACTTTGTCCTCCTAAGCAGCTTTTTGTTCTCAGTGCACCGCTAATTAAACGGCCGATTTTTGCCGTGAGCTCCTGCATGGGGACAAGTTAGGCTCTTCAAACACAGGCTTCAGAGAATACATGACATCCAAAGAATTATTACATTCAAAGTATTATTCTAAAAACAAAAAGAATTATTCTAATAACAAATACGTGCTACTAATGATCCTTTCTATATTGTGGCAAAAATTTCCTTCAAAAGTATCGTGATGTCGTAAATGCTGAGTCTTTCTACGTTTTTTTATTGAGCTGCATGTACGTTTGTAGTAGATTTAGCTGTGAGTATTAACAATGTATTTCTTATGGTGTAATTGAAGAACTTTTTGCTCATTTGTAATCAACAAAGGAGTGACAAAAGCACAATTAGAGGAATCGAGCGATTTTAATCAAGCGTTTTTCAAAATGAACGAAGTTCACACCTGAAATCAGTTTTTAAAATGTTTTTAATAAATTCAGAAATTAAAGGGTTACATTGAAAACATTTTAAAGTAAAATTGAAGATCAAGTGAAAATCTTCGCAAATATTTTAAATACTCGAAGATAATAGAAAGGCATTCCGAATCAATGGATTTATAAAAAAAGGTTCATACTCAGTATAGAAATAATGACCATCATACACTATTTAGTTATTAAAATCATTGTCGCGCCTATCTTCTGATGAAACTATTGATGAAATTGAAGCGATAAGTTGTGTTAGAATAAATTTGCTTTAATTAACTGACTTATTGACAAGAAAATTACGATTGTTTAAAAAAAATACGTTATAATTTTAGGCATAGTGAATGAAACTGTTGAATCCTTTCATCGTAAATCGTTGTATATCACACTATATGTATTAACCATTTAATTTAAGTTTATTTTTGTTCCTGATGATAATTATTGTGATGATCTGATCTATAAAGTGCTGAATCATTACTCAAAAATGTTTTCAAATTTTTGAGAAGCGCTACAGAAGTAGCCCCGGTAAAGGAACCTCTTTATGGAACCTGTTAATGTTTTATTGAAGTTAATGGAATACAGCAAAGCAATTAAAAATCCATGTGTTTCGATACAGAGACAGGTGCCGCAGCTTAACTAGCGCTCTATTATCACTCAAAGCGATTAGCATTTCGCTGTACGTTGAGCCAGTCTCACTCACTTCATTTTGCTACTTCAGCAGAATATTTATGGTGGCATGAATTTTCCAGAAAAAGGAGTATCATAAATTGAATATCATTAACAGAAATCTCTATAAGCACCGTAAAGGTTTCTCACTGCGCCGTAAATCTCCGCGGTAGACTACTTATGGCATTACGCGGACTAGTTTTATTCAATGGTAAATTAGGCGCCCGTTGGTCGGACGAGTTACACTTTATTCTCCGCACGGAAACTAATTCCGCGAGTTTTGGAAGCGTTCTAGACGCAAACAAGATTAACTCTCTTCCCAGAATCTTCGGTGAATTAACATAGGGAAATAAATAAAATTTCCCCATAAAATCAGAAAATGGGGGATGAAATAGGGATCCTCGTCACTGCGAAGGTTTATCTCGTAAAACTCGCGTCAGCCACGTTTTTGTATATTTTGCACGATTAAATTTAATGGAAATATTGAATACATATGTATCCTTCAACACTTATCAAACTGTGACTGCATTTCGTTCGATTTACAATCAATAATTTGAAGGCGAATTTTGCGGCTGGAAATCGGAAACTAATTCCACGAGTTTTGGAAGCGTTCTAGACGCAAACAAGATTAACTCTCTTCCCAGAATCTTCGGTGAATTAACATAGGGGGAAAAATAACATTTCCCCATAAAATCAGAAAATGAGGTATGAAATAGGGATCCTCGTCACTGCGGAGGTTTATCTCGTAAAACTCGCGTAGTCCACGTTCTTGTATATATCTTGCACTATTAATTTCAATGTAAATTTTGAATACATATCATTCAACACTTATCAAACTGTTACTGCACTTCGATTTACAATCAATAATTTGAAGGCGAATTTTGCGGCTGGAAAGCCACGGATCTAAACGATCTAAAAGTCTAATGAAATAGTAATACAAATGTATTAAAATCTTGAAAACCTAAATGTATTACCTAGAATAACACATTGTTTTATGTTATTTAAATAACGTAGAAAAAGGTACAATAAATCTTTAAGGCATTTTTCATCATTTATTTCATAACGCAGGTGTGGAATGACATTCATAATCCAGCATGAGAAATAACCTTCACTCTTATATTTTTCTTCCGAAAAATCTGAACTAGAATCTATAATAAAATATTATCATTTCAATCAATACATTTTTCTCTACTATAATTTCAGTCAACTGGCGCCTATGTTAAAACAACTACCTTAAAAATGCCGATGGAGGAGAGTAGTTCATAATCATCACAGATACGATCCATCACTAAACAGAAAGGCAGAGGTTAGAGTTACAATAACTGACCACTCTTAATAACCAACAAATAGTTTATTATTATTAAATTTCTATGTTGATTTTCCGGAAAATCACTAACTCTTTGATAATAACTTGCTTAAATCTGCTAAGGTGCTCGTTCCTATAGAGGCTAATTCAAACAATTACTGAATTGAAGTACAAGAAAGAATTGGACTTGGGGTAACAGATAAAAGCAATACAAACAGTAACATTCTACGTACAAATTTACATTGTAACAAATTTTTTTAAGCATCGATGCAGAACGTCATCTGAAAACCTACGTACGAAACTCTAACTGTATTAATGATAAATTTCATGCCCCATCAAAACTATTTTGGGCGCTTCAGGCAGAACTGTTCTTTGATGACGCATTTTGATAAATGTGCAACGATTATGTAAACGTTACTGTCAGCCCAGATCTGGCTTCGCTGGATGATTAAATAAAACTAAGTAGTGATGGGTTGATTCAATTCAAAACTAAGTAGTGTTGGGCTGATTCAATTTAAAAATAAGTAGTGATGGCTTGATTCAATTTAAAACTAAGTAGAGATGGGTTGTTTCAATTTATAACTAAGTAGAGATGGGCTGATTCAATTTAAAACTAAGTAGTGATGGGCTGATTAAATTTAAAACTAAGTAGTGATGGGCTGATTCAATTTAAAACTAAGTAGTGATATGGCTTGATTCAATTTAAAACTAAGTAGTGATGGCTTGATTCAATTTAAAACTAAGTATTGATGGATTGATTCGATTCAAAACTAAATAGTGATGGCTTGATTCAATTTAAAACTAAGTAGTGATGGGCTGATTAAATTTAAAACTAAGTAGTAATGGCTGATACAATTTAAAACTAATTAGTGGAGGTTGTAGAGTGAAGCGTTTTCAGTTTCGCACATGTGCTGCATGTGCGACAAGTTCAAGTGTTCAAAGACTATTGAATGAATACCACTGACGTAGTATATAAGTCCTATCATTTTCACCAGTTTGGTTATAAAAGATCATTTAATTAAGACTGATATTTCCACCTCAGATATGTCGGTTTAATTTGAATCAGTAGATGCCAGATAATCAGAACTTTCTGTAGTAGAGAATAATATTTCATCCGTGTAATATGAGACTTCATCATGATCATCACCGGAGCTGTTTGTCTGAGATGACGCTGAAGTTTGTTCTTCGTATACCGGAGTGGATGTAACGTAATCAACGGGAACTTCTTTGTCATTGACTGATTCCTTCAGTCCTGGTAGCTCACTGTTCGCATTCAGAATCTCCTGAGGAGATTCCGATACAACTTGAACCACTTCGGTAGTCTGGGTTTCACTAATCTTCGGATCTTTATGCGAGGAATTTTTAAATAAATCGGGAATTTTGATAACGATATCGGGAATTGTACTTGAATTTTCATTTTCAAATAACTCATTATCGTCGTTAATTTTTTCTGCGAAAATACCCGAGTCCTCAATTTGGTTCTTATTTTCAATTAGGGTGTTGTTGGTTGGGATTATTATTGAGTTTTCATGAATTTTCAAATTTCCAGGGTTCACTTCGACATTTTCCCCAGAAAAATATAAATTGTCGTGAGTGTGTGGCAATTCAGTTCCAACTTCGACCATTGCTAGATGAGTTAAATTCTCTTCTGTTTGAATGGAGTCATAATCACTTGCGGTCTCTTCCTGCTCCCGGGCGACTTCAGGAATAATTTGTTTCATTTCGTTTCCCATACCATCGACAACTGGTCTTGAACTTTCCAAGCTTTCTGTAACTACTGATTCATCGGAAAGAGTGTGTGATTCAGGACTCGAATAAATTAACTGGCCGGAAAACACCTTTGTAGAGGGACTCTCATTTTCAGCAAAAGCTGACGAATCAGACGAATGTGCAAATTCTTTCGGGTGTGATGAAGAATTTTCTGTCATTTCTGTGCTCTGGAATTCATTATAAAACTCATCAGGAGAAGAACTCGAGTTATCAACAAACTCTGAAAAGTCAGATTCACTTGACAACTTCATTGGGATGGTAGTTGAACTTTCTGCGATTCTGGGATATTCTGTTGTGCCTGCAAATTTCTTCGGAGACAAAGTAGAATCTTGAATTATTTCCGGAGATTCTAATTTAAAGTCTACGTGTTCAACCTTCAAGTATGGTAAATTTGTAGTAAAGTCCAGTTGGTTTTCAACCTCGAATGATTCACTTTTGTTTTCAAACTTTTCCGGAATGAAGCTCAAACTTTCCTCTAGTCCGTCCAATAATTTGGATTCTTCGTCATAATCTTCTGGAATTGGACTAGAACTCTCTATCATCTCTACTGATGATGGGAAATTATTTTCAAAATGCTCTGGAATGCTAGTTGTAATCATTTCTGTCGTTGACTCTATATATTTCTCCAGCTCATTTGGTATTGGATCAGCGTTTTCAGTTGTTCCTAAAGGTGATTCAGTTTCATTTTCAAACTCTTCTGTAACGGGACTATCGCTTTCCATATTTCCCATTAACGATTCAGTATCACTTCCAAACTCCACTGGAACAGTAGTAGAACTATAGGCATAATCAACAAATTCCGTGACAATAGGAGTTGAACTTTCTATTATTCCTGGAAAGTCAAAAAATTTATCAGTGACAGCTAAATGTTCAAACTTCGATGATTCTTTGTCTGCATCATTAACCTCCTGAGACTCTGAAAACATATCCGCAGTGTTATTCACATTCTGAGAAAGACTTTCGCTATCTGAGTCTAAGATTGGAAAATCGATAGGAGGTATAACTGATTGACTTAAACTCCCATCGCGACCGTCCGTGGATTCTTCAGAGCTGTCATCTTCATCGGACCCGTCAGTTGCACCGTCTTTGTCAGAAGATGCTGGGATTAATCGTTCGCCGCTAACCTCTGCTTCAACCCTTGAATTTCTAGTCTCAATCTCAAACCTATTTTCTCCATCGATGAATTTATTGTCATTTGAGTTTGTTAGTTCGCTGGGTTCCGTAGCAACAATATAAGATTCGGTTGTCGATTCAGTTTCGTTATTGATTCCAATCAAATAATCCGATTCCATGATTTCAGTTGAGCTATGAAGTTTTTCTAGTTCGTTTCCTGGCATCTCTGAAGTGTTCTCGGTGAGCTCATGTTCAATCTCAGGCGTTACATGCACAATTTCTACCATTTCCTTATAAATTCCTCCTGCTTCAGATGTGTTTTCTTCCGTTGTACTGCCTACTCCTGTTGTATCACCTGAATTATCAGTGACGCCTTCTTCCGTCTTTTCCAATTGATCTGGCTTTTCGCTAACATTACTTGGCATCTCAATCATCTCCTCAAGTTCAAATCTGTTTTGCAAATCATCAAGTTCTTGTTCTTCATTTCGTTCATCGTCATCTCCATCATCATCATCTTGTTTACGTTCATCATCATTTTCATATCGTTGCTTTTCTTGAAGGGAGTTATCTCTCTCTTCGTCAATCCCGACCTGTGACTTTTCCGGCGCATGTTCTTCGTTTAAAGATGCATATTTCTTCAATTCATTATTGATATATTCCATTGGATTATCACTGTTTTCGATTTCCACTTCTGAATGTTCAGAATCGAAATTAGGTTCTGTACTCCGTTGCGACAAACTTTCTATGTATAGATCATCCAAATCTGAGGGAGTCGAAGGAATATCAAATTCTCCATCATCGGAAGACTTATGTTTGTCTATTTTGGACCCTAATGTATCAACTGATACTTGATTGGGGGACAGTACATGAGTATCATTGGCATTTTCTTCAACCGTTGATACTCCGACGAATTTCTCACCATCGAAAGACGCATTTACATCTAGTTTCTGATTTTTATCCGATTCATTCGGCACCATGATAACCCTGTTTCCATCAAAATGCCAAAAATGAGAGGAACTTGAGCCACGAAAAGGATATTCTTTCGAAAGAATAGGCTTAGTTGGAGAATCAAAAATTAAAAATGGAATTTGAGGTGCTACACGGTTTTCATTGTCATAATTTTCTTGATCGCTTCTATGCAAGTTTCTCATTTTACCAATTCGCCTATCATCAATTTCTTCGGAGGAGTCTATTCCAGGCGAGTACAACTCCCCTTTGCTTTCATCCAACGAAGAAATTTTATTTCCACCCTTCAGCCGACGGTACCTATTGCTCGAATCTTTGACAGTTGCTCCTGGGTGCTGGAGTTGATGCGAATCTACAGAATTGAGACGCCCGGTGAGCGGGAGTTGGTCTGAGAAATAAATGTTGTCGCCCACATGGACGTGGTCTCGTGGGTGGTAGTGGGGCATCGGCGCGCTCAGGGCAACCGCTGCCAGCGACAGAACCAACGCCGCGGTAACCATCTGGAGGAAGACCGATAATGCTTCGGATAGAAAATGAATGAAGATTCCTTCGTATGGATGTTCAAATGTTTTAATATACAAATTCAATCATATTGCGCTAAGGAATTGTAACGATTACAGCCAATAGTTTATAATTTGTTTTTATTTTTTAGCATTTATTCTATTTGATTTAGGTTTTTTATTTTCCAGTTTTTGAAATCTAATTTAGTAATGAGAACTTTGCACAGGTAAAATTTTTCAACTTATTTCGAACATACACATGTACTCGTCAGGACTGCTTAAGCACAGCATACTTGTACAACAGCAAATATATAGTATTAATGGAATGGGGTCTTGCCTGGTGGCTTAGAGCGACTATTTAAAATCTGCAAGTGGTACACTTTCACAAAATACTTATGAACCACTAAACTAAAAAATGTAAAATAGAATAAAATTGAAACTTAATATAGAAAACGAGCGCTTTTTCATTTTTTACCAATACTGAAACCACGAAATGTGGTAAGCAAAAAAAAAAAAAATGCCCATGTCGTTATAAAACGCTCACATACGAATCAGCAATTTTTCCTCAACTAAGTATTACAATAGATGAATATGGAATTTAAAAACAATTCAGATTTCGCACCAATCATTCGATGCTTGAACTGAAAAGGTAGCTGCTGCTTTAAAATAATTATTAAAAATAATTATTTATTTTAAATATTATTTAAAATAATATTTAAAATAATAATGATTGAAACAGTAATGCATATGAAGTATCAAAAAATTGAAGGAAGAATTGAATAAATGACAACTAAAGCAATTCACAACCTTAACTATCCCTGCTCGAAATGAAGGAGCGATAGAATAATTCACTAAAAAAATTCAATAACTAATTACAAGTCAGACTAGAAAGTAATTTTTCCCTGAGGCTCGATAAAAGGGATCTTGTATCAAAAATATACTGTAGTGGAACTGGACTAAACAAAAATTATATAACTTATCATCTACCTATGACCAATGGATCAAATATGTTTAATTATTTATAGCAGTCAAATTATATACCGTGTACTCAAAGTTAAGTGTCTGACTGCTCTGTAGCTTGAAGTGTACGGTACTGCATTACGCGAACTTTGATAGCTGGCTATATAACTCTCTTGTCGACCCATGTATCTACTAGTACGTCAACCATACGAACTTGACAGGCTTGACGAGAATACGGCATTTGTCTTGTACTAAAACAGTAATCTTTATAACATTTGTGACATTTACTTCGAAGGCTACAACGTTCCTGGATGATAATTTATATAAAGTAGTCTACGAAAAAAAAATATTCAGCACTATAACGGAACGATGTTCAGTAAATTTGTGTAACGTCTGTTTCTGAAACATTCATTCATCTGCTAAAATAAAATGTCAATTAGATTGCAAACTTGTAATTTGGTTCCTCGCAAGTCCAATGATTACATTAAAACTGCAAAGTCCAGAACTTGTTAGATCTTTTAAAATAAACATTTACACATGAATGTCATCACACTTTTTGTTATATTAGTTTTAAGAATGTTTGATATCAACTCGCACACGAATTATGAGACTACTTCAGCCATATCATTGTGATTATTACAAACGTTCATATTTTCCCTATTAACAAAATCATTATTAGCGGAAAATAATTCCACAACCACGCTGAATAGCATTACCTCGGCGTATCTGTGACGCGAACTGAAAGAGAAAAGTTTGACTTATGCCCACATTTCTCCTGAAACTGCCCTTTTATACCCATTTCCCAACTACCATCTTGTGATTTGTTAAGCCTTACAAATTTCCAGAAGATTCTCTTCCAGTTCTTTGAAAAAACGGTGAGCTATTCGGTGACTGAACGATAAGATTCAACCGCAAAACTTTGAGACGGCTGAGTGCTTTCCTTTTGAAGGTTTGTAACCGGCCGCCAACAAAAGTGACCGCATTAGAACAAACATGCCATCTGTCCCTGTAAGCTATTACTTGATCCTAAAAATTTATTGTCGTCGACACGTAGAAATTAAATCAAGCTGAAAAGTCATGAATAATGAAAACAATCGAACGGAAACTGACGGTAAATGAGGCTAACCATGATAACAAATTACGCTCAGACTTTTATTATCAAATAGATTAAAAATTATCAGTCCATTAGGCATACGTTAATTAAGAGAATGAAATTATTATGATAAGCCCAAACGTGAAATGTTGGTTCGCTCTTCGATATGAAAGTGGGTATTCGTTGTGAAAATTATATTCGTGAATCTTTTTGACACTGCGCTAAGTTTTATTTTTGTGATACAATAATTTACAATGTAAACGACGCAGCGTGCATGGATTTTCTACCTCAGTGCAAACTGAATGATCTCATATATTAAATGTTCTCCAATATTTAAATTAGTCCTCATGAGGCATAATTTTTATAGCCTGTTTTCCAACGCATGTGTCATGTGTCAATTACGAGAACATTTCCTGGCGCTGGAATAGGCACATTAAATGTACAGTTACACATTAATTAATTATAATATTTCAGCCAATACGTCGAGCATGTTTGGATTTCCTACTGTCATAACGTAACGATATTAATCGTAATATTTTTAGCTCATTTTCTCATTTATGGAAAAAATGCACTATTGTGCTCGCCATTTCTGTCTGTCTGTCCGTCCGTCTGTCCGTCCGTCCATGACCTCAAGTTTTCGTCGACGAGAAAATGCGCTCTCTGTCACTCACTGCAGTGAGTACTGATCGAGTTATATTTTTTTGGTGTGTGCATTTCTAGTTAATATGAATAGTAATAATGTTGTTGACTAGAAAATAATATTGTTGTTGACAAGAAATGATGATTTCTAGTTAATACAAATTCCGTGACACAATTAGGTTTTTAAGTTGAAGTTTTTAAAGTTACAAGTTTTTATTGAAGTTCACCAAAAGGACACAACTGACGGTAAATTAAGTGATGTAATGCAAACCTCCTGCTTTATGGAACATTCCGGAAGATTCAGTATCGTTCTCATTAACACGGTCCTGCTCGTAGAATATTCCGTGTGACCGAAGCTTCAGGTCAAGCAGCCTTCGTTCATTTACAAGCCATTAATAATATATACGTGAAGTGTGGGAAATCAAAGCAAGACTCTGGCTTCTTGTACGAAGAATATTCTGTTAAGTAGCATAAATGTAACGTCAGTAGATAATAGGATTAGTTCTTGAATCTTATTTAATAAGGACGGATGGCATCGGAAAGCGAAATCAATTAATTGAAATATACAAGCATTTACTCGTGATTAAACCAAAATGATGTAAGCAGGATGAATGGCGTCATATAATTATTGTGAAATTGCATTTTGATTGCATTTTGATTGAAAATGCAGGAGAATCAAATAATTTTCACTTATCAAACGAATGAATTGAATCTCGAGATAATAATCAAGAGTTTCAACTAAATTTTGTTGATGAATTTAAAACAATGGGAAATTCCTACCATATTTTCAAAAAGGAAACTAAAAAGAGATCTGCAGAGCTTAGAGAATAACATTAAATAAAACAAATTTATAAACTTCTATCAAATCGAACTAATTATTCAAATTTCATATCGGAACAACATGAAAATCAAGAGAGCACAGCAAATACACCAACGAATTCGAATTAATTTTGTGTTTCCATTTGCAAAAAGTTTTGAGGTTGACTGGTGTTCCACAATATTTTTATGCGGTTCATACCCATTTTTTTACACTTTTCATTCGCTTCAAATAAAGAAAGGGAAGTGAATGATCGAAAAGGAACTTATATTTTATATATTTTTTTATATTTTTGTTTTCTTAAATTCACTAAATTTAAATCAAAACTCCAATAATAATTTTTTATGATAGAAGTTCGACTCTTTCATGCGGAACCAATGATTTGACAGGTCATCAAAGATGACTCACTAAAGGTCATCAAAGATGACTCACTAAAGATCATCAAAGATGACTCACTAAAGATCATCAAAGATGACTCACTAAAGGTCATCAAAGATGACTCACTATAAAGATCATCAAAGACGACTCACTAAAGATCATCAAAGATGCCTCACTAAAGATCATCAAAGATAACTCACTAAATATCATCAAAGATGACTCACTAACACTGTACAGAGGAACTTTCCGGGCTTTTCATTTGCATTAACTAAGGGTCGTTAATTTTTCATGAACAGGAGATGTTCCTTAAAGAATAACAATAAGCTGATCATTACAATAACTGACGCATGAATCAATCCAGGAGCTGCGTTAATGAATTTTTCTCTTTGTTTCCATCATGTGGTCAATTGTATCCCAGTCTACTAGTCTCATGATTTCAATGAAAATAGTTGAGTAGATATGAGTAGGTATTTTTTAGGATTTACGGATGAAAATTAAACAAAAACTATACAAAAACATCTTTTCCTAAAGTGCCAACAAAAAGTGGATTTAGTTAACATCGTAAGTTTGTTAGAATTTTGATCAATAATAAAGACAACTAATGTTATTTTGATTAATTCATGTCAATTTAAATCTGGATTTGTTGCTCTAAGGTACTTATTTGTTACTACAAAGTACATATAGACGTTATTGCTCTACGGTACATATAGACGATGTTGCTCTAAGGTACATATTAACGTTGTTACTCTAGGTACATATAGACGTTGTTGCTCTAAGGTACATATAGACGTTGTTGCTCTAAGGTACATATAGAGGTTGTTGCTCTAAGGTACATATAGAGGTTGTTGCTCTAAGGTACATATAGACGTTGTTGCTCTAAAGTACATATAGACGTTGTTGCTCTAAGGTACATATAGATGTTGTTGCTCTAAGGTACATATAGAGGTTGTTGCTCTAAGGTACATATTAACGTTGTTGCTCTAAGGTACATATAGACGTTGTTGCTCTAAGGTACATATAGAGGTTGTTGCTCTAAGGTACATATAGACGTTGTTGCTCTAAGGTACANGCTTCACCTGTCTCTTATACACATCTAGATGTGTATAAGAGACAGATAATGAGCAGCTGAGTACATGATAATGAGCAGCTGAGTACATGATAATGAGAGGCTGAGTGCATGATAATGAGCAGCTGAGTGCATGATAATGTACTCAGCCACTACGGCCACTGCTTGGCGTTTGATGACAAGCAGCCTCTATGGACACTGGGCCGCGGCCTAATTTTCATCAACTAATTCTTCAGAATTCCGAGCTGCGATCGTTGGAAAAAGTTCACCAGAGAGACGCTTAATTTTTCCACTCGCTCCTTGTCAACTTGAGTTCGTGTTACTGAATTTGAACTTTCGTGTAACGTGCAACCTTAGCCGAGATATTACTTCCCCTCATCCCAGCGTCGGCGAGAGAAAAGTTGGATGCCTGTGGGTTACAGGTATATATTAATGAACAACTTTTTCATTGTCTAATAACTTGCTGTTATTTAAGGTCATTTATTTAGTACATATCCTATTTGATATTTCAAGCGCTGTCATTTATTCTCTATTCTCCTGACCAAGGAATTTAGTGTTTTATTATTTAAGTCAATATATTCATGTCGCACATCATTCTGCAAAAAAAATTGAACTTGCCAATCAACTTTTAAAAGCATTTTCGAGGCCTTAACTTGGTCATCAAGTAATTTGCGAGATGGTTATTCTATGCATCTATATCATGTCGCTCTGTCAGGACATGGAAAACGAAACGCTCGACACGAATGCCGGAATTTTCCTATCAACCAAAAGAAAGATTGGAATAGATCCTCCGTCTTTTCGTATCCTAATTAACGCCCATTTAGGCACGCTAAAAGAAAATAAAAGTTTACGGATTCTAACGTCGGTCCAAGTTCAAGAAAATTATGCAAGGACAACCATCGGCCAGCAACAAAGAAACAAAGCTCACCTCATTATTATTCCTCGCTGTATTATTGTAATTAATGCTTATCAGGAAACATTATCCAAATCTCCAGCAGACAGCGCTCAGGCTGAGGTACATAAAACAGCGCCATTACATCGCCTAGTTCATTCCAGCTCCTGCATTGCCCTCAAAAACATCACAGCTCCTCTAATATACGGTGAGGTTTCAATTATTTGCATAAATTTTAGCATTTTGTAGTCTCTTGGTTCTTCACCTTGATATGCATTCATGGATTCCTCTCCAGGCTATCACTTGCTGTCTCATTTATTTTGGAGTCATCTCAGATAAATGTAAATAAACTTTTTATATTGAATGATTTCCAAATTAAGCATCACCATTGTTGTCCTTCAGAGTAAGAACATCATTATTTACGGTTAACTTGCAAGTCCTGTAGTAGAGGCACTTGCACGACGATACTTTTTTCGTGCTTCTGCCTGCAGTTCCTACGATACCGATACAGGGAGCAGCTAAAACAATTCACATGAATATTTCAAATTCAAAGGAATATATGCAGATTTGAGAGCAAGAAAATATACTACAGTTTCAATGAGTAAATTCACATTGATTAGCAATGACAAATTGATGAGTGCAGCAACATTAAAGACTCCATTGCACAGCTTATATAGTTATAACTATAGTTAATAGTTGTGCCACTACACTGTCAGAAGTTATAATTAAGGTCATGTCTTTCTGATAGATATCCGGGGCAAATTAAAAGAACCTTAACATTTTCTTTTTACTTGTCATTGTGATGAGAGCCATTTAAATAGAAGGAATATATGTTAAAAGCTGGTATTTATAACCCTCCTGTATAAATTGAGTATTATCTGAAAGCTGGACATGATGAGAGAAAAATAAAATATATTAAGTGTAAAAAAAGATGGATCCGACCTCGACACTGCAGATATTTAGTATTTCTAGTCTCGGAAATGACGGAGTTTTTATCCATTATATAATTTTTTACTTCTCTGTTCAATTTGAACTTCATTTGAAAAACAGATCAAATAGAAGGGTTACTTGGAACTTAATTATATTTCGAAATATTCTAAATTTACCAAACATATTCCAGATGCGTGCGATTGCGTTCCTCATCCTGTTGGCGCTATGCGCGACCCTGGCTCTCAGCTACCCGGTAGGTTCGATGACCGAGGCCACGACGGGCCAAACGAAACTTTCATCGCAGTCCAGAGATGGGACCAATCAGGCAACTCGACGACGCAGAACTGTCTTCTCGCAAGGTCAACTACTTGATTATTTGGAGGAACCTGATAGTTTCGACGCGCCTGACAGCTTCGAAGAGCCCGACAGTTCTATGGAGCACGATAGTTCCGAGGAGCACAACACTACCGAGGCACCTGACAGCTTCAAAAAACGTGACATTTCCGAGGAGCACGACAGTTCCGAGGCACCTGACAGCTCCGAAGAGCGTGACGTTTCCGAGGAGCACAACACTACCGAGGCACCTGACAGCTTCAAAAAACGTGACATTTCCGAGGAGCACTTCAGTTCCGAGGCACCTGACAGCTCCGAAGAGCGTGACATTTCCGAGTAGTACGACGGGTCGAGGCACCTGACAGCTTCAAAGAGCGTGACAGCTCCGAGGCACCTGACAGTTTAGAAAAGCGTCACATTTTTGAGGGGTAGGTACGACAGTTCCAGTTCCGATACACCTGAGAGTTCTGAGGAGCACAACATGCAGTTCTGAGGAGCAATAATAATACAATGACTCTGCATGATCGTTCTAAAGAACTTACCAGTACTGACAATTTGTCAAGTAAACTCTCTACGTAAATACGTCAAGTAAACTATTTACGTAATTTGTCAAGTAAACTATCAATTTGTCAAGTAAACTCTCTCTACGAGTATCTATCTTCTCTATAGGCTCAGTTTCCTCCTTAAGACGATTTTTCAATCATAAAAGGCGAAACTTAATAATCTTGGGGGTGCCGGGGTAAAAAATAAATCGAGTCCGAAAAAATTAAAAAGATGGTTTCGAAGGAAAATAAAAAAAAATATGGAATCGATAGTCATTTGAATAAAACATTTCTTACAAATTTTCCAGAATTTTAGCTATGAAACTGCAGGGGCTCCAAAAATGTCGGTTAATAACCAACTTAATTTTTTCGCCCAAACGCCTCCCTTAATATTTTGATAACGATATATCCTGTCTGCATATAAGATGTTTACTTTAACCCGTAATTGAGCAAGTTGATGGCTGGGAGCTACATGCGATTTGGAAGGAACAGGCGTAAGAAGCCACCGCTGCATGCAGTGAATGTTAAATAAAGCAATGCAGCTAGGTTATCGAACGCAATGAACTATTCATGGAAATTTATCAAAAAATTTGGGAGCATCAAAATTGTTTCTTGGTGACTTACAGTGTATTAATCTGTGACTTGGTGACATAAAAAACATCTTTTATAAAAACGGCGTGTAACTTATTAAAAAGTGGGAAGTTTCTTATAGTTCATCGTATATATGCTGAAATGTGTCAACTTACAATCAATCGCATGTGTGAAGAATTTTCCATGATTAAATAGCTTATAAACTTTGATAATTGAAAAGCTGTATTAAACATCTGTCATTTCCCAGTATACAACTAATATGGTGCGATTCCACTCAACATTGAATCTGATTAGAGCGTCGGTAATTCTGATTTCAGTTATATTATACTGTATACAACGTAGTCTGAGTGTGAATTGATCAATAGCTTAAGTTATGAAAGTTATTGGAAGTTAGGGTAAAGGTGATGAGAAGGCTATAGGAATTTGGGTTGAAGCTGTGTAAAGCTTGTATAAGGTGCGATTATTCTCGAGACCGAGGGTTTGTTTATAGTTTGGAATGTCGAGGGTATCAAAGGGCTAACCTTTGTAGAGCTCGAAACTGTCGCGGTGTCCCGTGGTAGGCTTATGTGTGTGAGACGTCCTGCCAGATAAACACCCTAAAATTGGCGCCAAATGTTGCTCTTGTGAAGTCACGGTCACAAGCACGGTCTGCAGTCTGCGGACGTTGTGACGGCCGCCGGTCGTGAGGCCAGCGGTTTCGCCATTTCCGAACTTTGGCTGTCGCGAGAAACCTAGACTCACCGAGGCAGCTACGATTCCTGTGAGCACGTCAAAATTATACAAGGGGCGGCCACGACTTCGACATATTAATGTACTGTCGACATCAACACTACGGCTGCGGTTCAGCAGTGAGACAACGCAAGAAGCCACGAGTTGTCCAAGTACAAAGCACTGCGCAACAATTCTCATCTGTACGGTCACAGTCATCGACAGTCTCGGTACGGTCAAGATCACCAACTGCAGGAGCATCGCAATGAGCTCGTAGTAGCATCATCGACGATGAAGATTATGCCACTATTTAGAAGTACGGTCGTTGTAAAACAACCTACGGCCAGACTGATAGTGAGACATCTATATCAGCGAAACACGACGGTTATGAAGAACAGCGACCGCGGGGACGCGCGGCTACAGCTGTGGTACGGCCACTTGGAATACGGCTGCAAACGCGCGCGTGAGGTACGGTCGTTGCGTTAGTCGTACCATTCTACGGGGGCGTTCTACAGCTCAACGTTTTTTTGGTAAAAGTAGATTTTAGTGACGTTAACTGATAGGTTCTCAACTTTGATTGTGTTCGGACTTTTTGTGTTTTGTGTTTTTATTGTGTTTCTCATGTACTAGCGATTTTTGTCAATTTAGGATGTGAACTTGAATTTCCCAATTTAATATTAAATGTACCAGTGTTTCATTACAACCCTGTCTCTGTACGATTATTTGTACCCTAACCCATTCATACGAGAACTGATATACGTACATAAGTAATTAAGCCACTTCGGCAACCACCCTGACAAGCGATAAATAATAATATCTGGAACTATAACGTAACTTAAAACTGAAGGAGTAATCACTCCGATCGTTCAACGTAAAAATATTAGGCTATAGTAAAACCCTTCGCTATTCAAATCATTTGCGATGATATTCACTGAGCATGAGCCCGTTATCGTCAATGTCCAAAATATCATTCAGTTTCACTAAAATACCTTGAGTGATGAGTGATTTGAATGTGACAAGTCTCACACAATTTGCCGTTGCAGTAATTCATATTTTCTTGGCGCCGTTTATTCATAATCAACGAGAATTACATATTTCTACAATAATTAGTTTACAAGCACCTCAATGCTCTGTAATAGCATAAAATGTCATCTTGATAGAAATGTCAAGTAGGCGCTTTGGAATTCAACACTAGATGTAAAAGACTCTACATTTTGAGTGAGTCGAACTCGAAAAATAATTCAAGCACAAGCGAAAAAATGCGTGAGGCCGCTCACCTTCTATAAGACGCAATCAATAGTACATAACACAAAATTTGCTTTGGAGCAATCAAGATTCTGGCAAATTTTTATTTGAACTTATATCATGTTGATGGGGATCGATCGGGGAAGCTTCCGATCGAATAATGATCGGAATGATCAATTAATGACTGGATCAGTTAATGATTCGATCAATTAATGATCGGATCAATTAATGATTGAATCAATTAATGATCGGATCAATTAATGATTGGATCAATTAATGATCGGATCAAGCGGATCAATTAATGATCGGATCATCTAATTGATATCTCGCTTTGGCAACGCGTGAATGACCGTAAATGTTTCTGTTTGCGTGTTAAAACTGGAAGAGCATATAAAATTCTTACGTAATTCAAAGTGTTATAATACTGACGTGAAATAAATATCATAACTGGCACCAGAAATTGACCAAAAATAACGTACTATGCGAATGAACTAGATGAAGGATGAAGTTCATTCTCCCGCCACTAGCTGTTTCCAACCCCTACCCCTCCTCCCTCTCTCAATGCCCCCCCCCATGCATGGCCTGCTTAGCTGCTCTGTTCAGCTCCCTGCCGGGCAATCCAAGTACCAGCGCTAAAACAGCGCAGAGTTACGGCCCTGCCGAGCTGTTAGAATTTTGTCTCTATATCAGCCATGGCGCAGCGCCGTTTTAGGGATAGATGGCCGGTTATAGTTTCACGGCTCCATCCTGCTAAAGCGCGACCAGCCCGGCCAAACCCGGCGCCGGTCTCGGCTCAAAATTTTAACTGGGCAACAACCCTGACAAGCGATAAATAATAATATCTGGAAATATAACGTAACTTAAAACTGAAGGAGTAATCACTTCGATCGTTCAACGTAAAAATATTAGGCGATAGAAAAACCCTTCGATATTCAAACCTTTTACGATGATATTCACTGAGCATGAGACCGTTATCGTCAATGTCCAAAATATCACTCGGTTTCACTAAAATACCTTGAGTGTTGAATGATTTGAATTTAACAAGTCTCAAATAAATTGCCGTTGCAGCAATTCATATTTTCTTCCAGCAATTCATACTTCTTATTCAACGAGAGTTACATATTTCCAAAATAATTAGTTAACAGGCACTTCAATACTCTTTAGTAGCATAAAATTTCATCTGAATAGAAATGTTAAGTAGGCGCTCGGGAATTAAACACAAGATGTAAAACAGACTCTATATATTGAGGGATTCGAATTCGAATAATAATTCAAGCACAACCGAAAAAATGCAAGAAAAAAATGCACCCGAAAATCAAGTTATTGGAGATCAATCGGGGGACTTTCCGATCGATTAATGATCGGAATGAGCAATCAATGACTGGAACAATTAATGATTTGATAAATTATTGATCGGATCAGTTAATTTCAACATTTATCATGTTGTTGGGGACTTTCGATCATTAATGATTCCATCTTTTTCCTTCCACGAATGCATATGCTCGTTCGTCTTGTTCAAAATTATTCTCAATAATCTCACTAAACCAACGAATTAATAAATTTGACCAAATATAATAAATAAAATAATTATCTAAATGAAGATGTTGAACAATCCTCCCTCGCAAATCTATTAAATCTAACAGTGCGTTTAAGTTTTTTTATTTCCTCTCCTTTGCTTCAATGAGTTTGCAGTACAGTCTAGAATTGAGCAGCTGAGATCCAAGTTGCAAATTCAAGAATATTCAGCAATTTAGACTTTAATACAATAATCAAAATACCTTAAATACCTAGCTAAAGCAATGGATTTAATAATAATGCGAAAAATTGGCACACGGAAATAATAAATATTGTACATCACAAATATTACCACAAGCTATCTATCAACGCACCTTCAACGCTAGATCCTCAGGAAAAATTATGAGTAAAACGCACCAATACGCTAGACGCACCACTACGCTAGACGCACCACTACGCTAGACGCACCACTACGCTAGACGCACCACTACGCTAGACGCACCACTCTAAATTTGCGAAAATTGTCGAGTTGAATATCAAGAGTTATGAATACTAATTATGTTTTAGAAACGGCTGATCTGATACTCGTGAAATTTTAACAGATTATTAAACACAATCAGACATGACAGAATCATGATTTTTAAAATTGTTTACAAACTTCGGGAAGATGAATGAAGATCAGGCTCTATATGAATGAAAAACCTTTTATTGAAAACTAAAAGTTCGACAATAAATTATTGTTCGCCATTCTCTAGAGGCGAGAGAGTCGTTCTGGTGGTCTCTGGTTATGTGACAGTCGTTCTGACAATTTGCGGAAGTGCGATAGTCGTCTTACCAGTCGTCAGAGTTGCGTTAGTCGTTGCAATAAAGTCACTTGCTGAACCGTCAGATCGGGATCGCTGCTGAATTTTCTTTGTGTATACCACTGTGCTCGCCAAGTC